AGCCATTACCTTAGGCAGTACCTTTTACTCTCCATTTTGTCTTGATTCCAAAATATGACTTTATCTTCCTCATTTGTCGAATACCTTTTAAGATTTGCAGTCTCAAAAGATGAAGGTGCCTTCCTGTACCCAGAATAGCTCCCACAAATCTGTCCAAAGAAGTCTTTTAGAAATGCATCACTATAAATCATGAAATATTTGTGCTGGGTGGGGGGCAGGTGGGGGAATAGATAACCACCTATTAAATGAATGATGCTTCTTTTCAGTGCCTGGCCTGAAAAGATAACAATATATTGATGCTGTTAAGTGGAGTAATGATCTTTGGTTACTATTCTTTTTTTTTTCTATTTTCACTGTGGTATATGCAAATATAACCCATTCCTACAGAAAGTGAATGTGTAATGTTCTAATGTGGATGCATGTATTTCCAGTACAAGTAATTTTCTCAGAATCTTACATAGCATTTAATAACCACAATAGATTGCACCTACAAGCACCACGTGTATGTCTGTTTATAGCTAAGGATCTCAAAATATTTTATAGACATTAACTGTGAACAATATAAAATAACATGCATCAGTGAGGAAAAAATAGTGTTAATTCACCTTTTTTGTAGCTTGAAAAATCATTCCTTTTATTTTTATTTTCCTGCAAGTATTAGGAGCAAGTTCTAGTGACAGATACCTATTGAAATCCAAGGATACAAATCACCTTGGTTTTGAACTTGGAAAACCAAGCCACCAGAATTTCAACTCATGTTTTAAAAACTAGAACATAAAAACTGAATTCCTAATTTAAAGCACTTTGTAAAGTATTCCAGTGTTGAAATAGTAGGACAAAATTTTGCTCTTCGTTTCCTAGTGGCATGCTTCCTTGGCAAAAAGACTACACAATTAAGTTTCCTTTTTAAAGCATTTCAGATTTTCAGGAGTTAGAACTGCAGTTCATATATAGCAACTACTTTTGAGAGACTGGGAATGTTTTGGAAGCATCTTAGGAAAGAATTTCACATGTTAAGTTGTACTAACCTGGTTAAGACACAGTGTGCAATGTCAGTGCTGTTGCATCAGATCCTATGAAACATTGCAGAGGAACTTTGTGTGTTTTTTTTTGTTTGTTTGTTTGTTTTTTGTCCTGAGTTGAGTAATCTACTATGTACCCTGGACATGCACCAAATAGAAGTGGCTCCATCTTAGTTAAAACTATAAAATGGGCTGACTTGTAGGTGCACCTGTATGAGCAGGCAGGTGTGTACATGTTGTAACAGATGCTTTATTGTTGGAGTTCTGTATAGGGCCTCAGGGTTGTCCGAATCATCCTATGCTGAAGGGGTAGGACCTCATGCAATGATGTAGAGTGACTTCATAGACTTTTCCTGACAGCTCAGTATCTTTTCTGTATTCAGAAATAATAGAGCTGGCATAGCTCTCTGAAGAAAAAGAAATCAGTGTGGTAGAGAGGGAACATCCTGGAGAGAAGGCTAGGATCAGTCCAAGTTGAAGGATATGATGAAAAGGCAGTATGTACAAGCTGGGACGTGTTAATATTTTCTTGGGAGGTGTACCAATTTACATATGAAATGAACAAAGAGATTAAGTGCTTGGAAATCAAGCATAGAAAAACATTTGGCTGAAAAATGCTTAAAATGGGTGCTGCATGCTGGAACAATAGAAGCAGCAGCAGCAGACTGTGCTTCATGTACATTATCTGCAGCAATCATAGTGCCTTTATGATCTGTATGCCATTAGAGGAGTGAGTGATTGCTTCAGTGTATGACCAGATGTTTTATTTGAAGACCATTAATCAAATTTCCCAAGGCAGAAGAAACATTAAGCAATTAATTAAGTTATAATACTGGTCTTGTAAGAGGGTTCTGACTACACTAATTAATCAAGCCAAGTTGGAAGATTTTGTTCAAGGAGCTCTGAAACACTTTCTGATAGCCTTCAGAGAAAAACTCCGAGTATTACAGAGATGTGAGCTAGTCAAAAAGACCTTTGCTTTGCCCTCATGTCTACTGCTGTGATGAGCTGTTTTAGTCATGATTACATCAAGATACTTTATAGTCACAAGGACTATTGTAAGGAGCTTCAGTTGAGTGAGACAAGAAGTCCCTCTTCTTTTCTGCTTTGAATTTAAGGAAAATGCTTTGAATTTTGAAAGATTAAATACGACTGCTGTTTTGATTGTTCATCTTGGGAGAATGTAGAGAGAATATGCAGTTAGGAAGAGCTCGTTTTTATTTTTAATGCAACAGCAACAGTGCCCGCAGGGGTTTCAACCTAGAGCTTTATAAAATGAGACTCTTGTTTCCGTCTTGCCATCATAAGAGCATTAACTTCAAGAGGAGGGAGCTAGTATCCAGTGCTGCCTCCTAGCAGTTCTATAGGAGGAAGAGTTTTCATGGCTGCAGGAGAGCTTGTGGGAGCTTCCCCATATGTAGTCAACAGTGACCTGTGTCAGTAGTACCAAATTTCCTTAAACTTATTTGAAAACTTGAGCCTCAGTTCTGTAGGAGGATGCTGGATGTTTTCTCATCTTGTGCTGAAAATAACAAGGACAGTTTTGTTAGTGTTTTATTTACTTGAAAGCTTTTGAAACTAGCTGTAATTGGATCTCCTATTCCTCTGTCTGAAGGGAAGGGACAGATAAGTTTGAGAAACCTGCTGTGATCAGTCACGCAGGAAATAAAATAACTGGAAATAGAAGATGAGACAATTTGAAGACTGTTTAAGAAAAGAACCATTAGGTGTGAAAATAAGATTTGTTTTGACACATTACCTACTCAAGCAGCCAGGGAAATTAATGTAATAGTTGTACTTTTCAGATTAACAGTTAATACACAAATGGATGTATTTGTTTCGTAAGTTACTGGAGCATGTTTTGGTTGATGTCAGCTGGCTTCCACACTCTGCCTGGCTGGCTGGATAAGTGTTCTCTGGCATGCTCTCCGGAGAACGTGCCTAATGTAGGAGGTAGAAAGATCCTTTAATCAAAAGGGTCTACAGCACTTGGAAACAGCCTGAAGATATGAAAAATTAAGTAGTAAAAAGTTTGAATGTCATAGAAAATCCTTGACCACTAAGGTAGCAAAATGGATTCAGTTTTGACAGACTGAGCCAGATAAGAGGTCAACAACTGCACTGCGTGTGTTTTGTGATGAACTGTGGCTGCCCACCAAAAAGAAATCTGCTAACTCAATCAAGGTTATACAAATACCAATCAGAACTAAAGGGCAAATAGTGGCCCTAGCATAGTTTTTTGCAAAAAAAGGCAGGATTAAGAGTAAAACATTTTATGATGGTTAAGCAGAAGACAATGAAATAAAAGAAAATGACGTAGAGGCTAACTTGTCTTGGGCTGGCTTGGGAAAGCTGCAAGACATGTTTCCATAGAAACAATAATCACAGATTATGTAGATGCTGCATGGGCCACAATCTTTTCTTACTGCCTAGAAGAGGGTTTCTTGGCAGTGAATAGAACAGGCAGGTGCCAAAGTGATGAAATCATCACTGGTAATAAAACCATAAATTGAGATGGAAATCTTGAGGGGCATTACAGTAACTGATTATATATGGAAAAATAAACAAGTTATCATACAGTGTTCACCTTTTTTTTTTTTTTTTTTTTTTTTCAGTCTGTCTTCTTCAAACATGTTAATTGGACTAATAAAGATACTCTCTTCCCACAAACTTTGTTCTGTTGTTAGATTATCATGGACCAAATGTAGTCGTTTGAGGGAAAAGCAGCTGTTATTTATGCATAGATTTCTAGCATCCCTATTTTCCTTGATCTTTCAGGGAAGAACATATATACTATTTTTTTCTTCAGAAAAGAAACAAGTGCAAAGCCAAACAAAAAACATACGTACACAAACATCTCAGAGGAAAAAGCTTGTATAGATTACAGAAAATCTTTATTATACTTGTACTGTTTTTTATTTTTTATTTTTTTAGTACTTGTTAACATGACAGAAGGACCTCTTTAGGACTTACCTGCATAGCATAGGATAAAAAGATTAGATAAAATGTTAAACAGTATTTGGAAAAATTCTTGATGAATCACAGTTGATCTTCTAGTTACCTTCTAGGTGTGGGCTTTGAGAGAACAAAATAAGCTGAAAAAAAGTGTCATTTGGGTTTCAGTGGGAATATAACTGATGAAAAAATCAGAACTTTTTCTATAATTTTTCTTCTTGAATTAGATTAATTGGATTGTTCTAAGAGGAGATCTGGGGTAGTTTAGTAAACTAGTTTCTAGTAAGCTTCTAGCTTCCCAGGGAGGACAAAAACAATGTTGTATCTGTCAAGTTAAATCGTGTAAGTGATTTTACTTGGACAAGTGAGAAGTTTAAATTATAATAATAATAGATCATTTTGTGTCTGTGTGTGAAGTTCTATTTGTGCCAAGTAGGCTCACGCGAAATTCCTGAGATCCTGTTCTGATCTCAGATGTCAATGGCCAGACTGGGCAGCTGTTACTATGATTACTTACCACTTTCATATATACTGCACTCGTGCCAATACTTAGTACCAGTATCATCTATTGGAAGAAAGAAACATAATTGGGATAATGACACTGATGTATCTGTTCTGGAGAGCCCTCATCTGAGGGCTGCTCTGGCAGTATGGAGGTTATGAAGCAGGTATGAATATGTCTAACTGTAGTGCAACAGCAAAGTACAGGGTAAACGAGGAAAAAAATAAGCTGAATGAAGTACCAGATGAAATTAGAGGTACAAGTATTAGAGCAGAATTTTGCAGGATATTAATATAAAGCTCACGTAACCAGGAAGACACAAGATAGTAGTGTTTTTTGATGACATGCAATCACAATCTTCATCCAGGTTTCCATAAACTACTGTGTATTTTTTTATTATTATTTTTCAATGTATTTCTAAGATTTTGTCTAATTGTCATGGCTACTCTTCTCTTAGACACAAAATTATTCAATAATTGGGGAACATTCTTACAGTTGTGTTGTTTTCTTAAATCACCCAGGTCTACAGTCTTTCAGACTTAGAAGCATGCTATTGCTGTGTTTGAGGAAGCATTTCAACATGTCACCCAATACCTGCAAGTCTGAAATGAGAGAAAAATGCATCAGGATATTGTTGGCAAGGTAATTTCTGTTATAGGCCTATCTGCCTCTCTATACAGTTTTACTCCAGTTAATTTTCATAGGTCGATTTTCTTAAATGTCATACATAATGCGTTCTTGTTATGAAATGGTAGATAAGATATAGTGTATGAAGAAATGTCATTCGTTGTTTCATATTTCACTCTTAATTAGTCTATCACTGGAATATTTTTCAGACTAAATTGTCAATTTTGTCATGTACTTAAGTAGTTTCATTTTTACACTTTAGAGAAGTATACATTTTCAATTGATAAAATCCAAGATCATGTAATTCTTACTGAAGCACAGAATCCATACATAGTTATTCCTTTGAAATTCAAGGGGGCAAATTGTTTTCATAGGTACTTACTTCTTTCTGGAGAGTTGGTGAGAGTGAAGAGGAGAAAGCAAATGGGGAGAATCAAATCTGGGCTCACCAAACTTTGCAGCAAACCTTTCATTTGCACACTAGACACTGAAATTTCATAAGAGGTTATAGCTACATTATTAATAAAATGAATATTATTCCTTTTCATATTGTCTCTACAGTTAAATCACTATACCATACTGATCCTGTCAGTTTCTGCTTTTTCTTCTGATACTGTAATGATTTATAGAACATACTGGGCAATATTGATCTACATTTCAGTTGAATTAATTTATTTTTTTGTGAGTAGTAGATTTGTTGACATATCCTTGCAACATGAGATACTTGTGTGTTTCATATGTGCATGAATAATATGAATATGTACTTAAACCCAAAGATCACGATACAGGGTAACATTCCTATCCGACAAGGGGGCCTGGAGAACAAGTCCTACGAGGAGCGGCTGAGGGAGCTGGGCTTGTTCAGCCTGGAGAAGAGGAGGCTCAGGGGCGACCTTATTGCTCTTTACAGATACCTTAAAGGAGGCTGTAGCGAGGTGGGGGTTGGTCTATTCTCCCACGTGCCTGGTGACAGGACAAGGGGGAATGGGCTTAAGTTGCGCCAGGGGAGTTTTAGATTGGATCTTAGGAAGAACTTCTTTACTGAAAGGGTTGTTAGACATTGGAACAGGCTGCCCAGGGAAGTGGTGGAGTCACCATCCCTGGAAGTCTTTAAAAGACGTTTAGATGTAGAGCTTAGGGATATGGTTTAGTGGGGACTGTTAGCGTTAGGTCAGAGGTTGGACTCGATGATCTTGAGGTCTCTTCCAACCTAGAAATTCTGTGAAACAAAACATACAGATATATACCCGGGACTCATTGAATTGATAAAATTGCATCATGTCTATATTTGTTTCATGCAGTGTTTGGAAATGATGGGCTTAGACACATTCATAAGTATTTCTTTAGTTAATTCCCAAGAGTGTAAATTGAAGTATGTAGGTAAAAGACTTTGTAATACTATATCTAAATTATTGTTCTAGATGTTTGTATGGTTACCTGTTAAGTCACAACTCAAGTGCAAGCCAGTTCTCACTTTCCTCCATTTCTTGCTTTCCATGGGTAAGAAATATACAAAGACTAGAGGACACCTAAGGCACATGTCAGCCTAGGTGGTAGTATCAAAGATCATATCTGTCTCATGTCTGTATGGAGTAAGGCCTTTCAAGTGCTCATTTACAAATAAATAAATAAATAAATTCAATGTAGTACCCAAAAAATAGCTGCATAGCTCCTTTTGTGGAAATGTGAAGGAAATTGTGACTTCAGAAAAGCCTAAAGAAATACACGATTGGATAATGACTAATTCTAGTGGTGACATTTTCAGAACAAAAGTTTATGAATTTGAGCATGGCTGTGATTAAAGATTGGGGTAACCAAGCCAAAATGAATCTACTGCTATTTATTAATCCTCCTTCAGTAAGTATCTTCCATTATTCTCCTCATATTTACTTATGTCTTTTCTCAGAGCCTACATTTCAGTATAAATCAAAATGAAATTTAGCTATGTGAAGTTGCTTTGCTTTCATTTTCTATGATTGACACTATTTACACAATATATTTGCCTGTTAACTTGTATCCCTTCTCAACTTTGCTGTTGTTGAAGTAATTCAGTGCAGTGACTGACACAAAAGTTGGATGTTACTGGCTGTCATGCATATAAAGACAAGTGTGGTAGTTCAGATAGTGCTATAAGACTGAAATTTGAACAGCAAAAGCCCACGTTCTCTCTAGACACAAATCACATCAGTCTGTTCATTTCCAGTATACTGACACATTTGGCAAGTTAGATAATAGATCTTAAATATTTTCCTTTATCACTAGATGTGAGCGTTGTACCAAACATAGTGTGCAAGTCTTTTCCAGTAGGAAGAAGCATGGTGTAACAGTTGACAGTATTAGAACTCAGCTTGAACACTGGCTTTCTTATGATTTTTGTCATATTGCTTAATTTTGATCTATTATCACCTTTCACAAAAATCTGTGTGCATCACAGATATTAGAAAAACAGGAAAAACATGAAAATAGATCTTTTTGAGACTTTGACTGGGAAAAGCATGCACTTTACTGTAGTAATCTCTTTATAGTCTTTGATATCTGGTGTTGACGAGTTAAATGACCTCACTTAGTTTATTCCATGGGACCTCTCATTAGGGCAAGCAGAATTCCCCTTTATTCTCTGCAGCACTTAAGCTTGGCTCCAAATTCAGCACTTCTCCTTTGTCTTGTAAGGACATACAGTGTGCACAAGAAATTTTCCAAAATGAGGAAATTGAGGTTATTCTTGATATTCAGTCACTGGAGGAAAAAAAGAAGTAGCAGAAGCCTATGATTTGTCACAAGACTAGAAATAACCTTTGAATAATTGGTCTCATTAAATAGAGGCTTGTCGTTATGGTAATATCATCCCAGCTGATGCAGAAAACCAAACAGGGTCATAAAACTGCAGTTATGAGACGTGTCACAGTGAAAGTATTGGGTAAGAAATCGTCTTGCAGGAAGTGATTGTTGGCAGGTTTCCTAGGAAGCATGTATTCTAGGGATGCCTCATTCACCTAATCCTGTGGTGCAGTCCACATAGCACAATAGTTGCCTGCTTACTGAATGAGGACCTCGAGATCAAGACCATTCATCAAACCCATATTGATCTAGGAGTTTCTTTTCTCTGCCTGTCACATTCAAAGACTGATTACGGTAGTGAAACCCTTTCTTAAAAAAAAAAAGTTCAGAAACTTGTGAATGATGTGATTATAATGCATATATGCAGTATGTAATATATGTAAAAAGACAGCAGAAGAAGGAAGAAGATCATGAAGCTGATGCTTTTGAAGAGCTTATCAGACTGAAAAGCAAGAACACTTTTTTTTTTTTTTTTTTTAAGGTTAGGGCTACTGTTAGTATGGAAAAAATACTTCGCTGTTCCAAGAACTTGAAATTTACTGTTTTCTCATTAAATGTGGTAAAAAAAAAAAAAAAAAAGCTTAATTAAAAAACGAAAAACCCCCCCCCAAAAAAAACTTTAGTTGTAAGATAAATAGTATCTGTGGGTTGCTTGGGTGTTTATGAAGGCAAAATTTTTTTGCTCCTCTTCCTTATTACATAGCCCATGAACTTTCTTGTGTTCTATTTCCAGTTTCAAGTCATACAAAATTTAGGAGTTCCTGTATTATAGGAGGCAGGTGGATCACCAGCTGCTTTGCTAAAATGCTGCATGAGGCACACAAATTTCTGTGCTGATATTGTACAGAACCTTTCATTCACACAGAAAGAGAAAGAACAGTCCAGTGGCTGGAGTTGTGGTTTAGGATAGGTGGATGTTGCCACTGACCTCTTGTGGGAACTGGACAGGTATAGGGGACTCTGATTTAGCTGCATGTACTGAACTCGAATATCTGAACACTTGATTGTCTCTCAGCCCCGAAGGACTGTTGTGTCTTGAAGTGTAAATGTGCAATCTCTGGAGGCTTGCCTTTTGGAAAGCAAAGGGTGTCTCCAGTGATCGTTTCACAGCAGAAGTCTAGTTTACTAGACTGTCTCCTTCTAGAAGGACCGCTCTCTCATTTTCCCTTGATTGTAGTTATTTTTGGATTCTGTGAAGTGAGTTTAAGAGGGTGTCTACATTTCACAGCAGTATGTTGGGGAAAAAATAATTTAAATTTCATGGTGCTCAAATACTTTGTTTAGAAAGTGATAGATATTTAATAAATCTAGGATCTCTAAAACATACGTATAATGAAGTCAACATGAGGAACTTCATCACTTACTCATCATGGTACAGGCTTTCACTGTACAGCCTTCCACAGGAGTAGAAAATCTAAATATCTATGCTGCAATAAAACTACTGGAACTAGCATTTGGGTAAGATAAATGCTGTGTTGTGTTGCCGCTTTCCCTTGTCCATGCATTTGTCACAAGGCAGGATGTTTAAAATGAAATAATCAGGCCACTTGAGCCCAAAACTAGGATAAAGCTATTGGCTCCTGTGCAACTGCTGTTGGTTTTAGGTGTTTTATTTTTTTATTATTTTATTTATTTATTTATTTTTTAAAAAAAGTATTTGGATTCATAGAAAAATCAATTTTTCAGTTCAAGAATATAAAGGATATGTTAATTCTAGTGAGTTAAATAGTGCCATGGAACACTGGTGGGTATTAGAGCTTCATTGTCTGTACAATTGCACTTGTCAAAAGGTCTTTGGTTCAATTTTAAGCTCAGTTCATTGCCAAATTTGCAAACAATACCAAGGTATGATTTAAGTCAGCATTGACCAGGGACCTTTCCCAATAAGCTGTTAGGATGCAGATTGTTTGGAGGAGAAGAGGGTTCTCAATAGTGTGGATGTGAGTCATTCCCTGTCAGCTGGCCTGAGGCCAAACAGGCTTGTGCATATTAATTTACTAGAACAGCTAAGGCCTACTCTTAAATTTTTATTTATTTATTTTTTTAATTATTAATTATCGTGGAATTCAATTTTTCATTTCAAAATGAGAAGTCAAGGTCTTTTGTTTTAAAATTATTGGAAAGATACATTTCAGCATTAATACTCAGTGCTCTTTACTGAAATGACTCAAGAATTA